ATAAGTCCAGGAAGCCTCCCTGGACAACATCCTTCCGTTTCCCTCGCACCCCTCCATAGCGGTCCCGAGAACCGTGGAATCATTCTATGACGGTGTTGCGGACAACCTTTTCATCAACATTCCGTAAGTTCGGATGTTGTCGGACGGCCTCTGAACGTCGTGACACAAATGTAAACCTACCACAAAATACAGCGTACAGGGGGCTTCCACTAAAGGACACTTTGTTCTTAGAAGCCCTTGAATAAGTAAATTGTAAAATTAGGGGCGGCCCAAAATTACCCGATAGAAGGCTTCTTATAATGTCCTTTTCATTTCGTCCGCCAATCTTTGTTAAGCCATTGACCTGTGAGTAAGTATTTAGAAGTGAATTTGAACACAAGCGTACCGTTTGCTGCTGACAGTCTTTTTCTGACTTAAAGCGGTCGAGGAAATGTGAGAGGCTCTCTTGAGAGCAGAGTGGCAAACGCCCCACTGCTGCCATCGGCCCCGTAGGTATGGAACGGTGGCTGTCAAGGACAGCATCACCGACTTCCTCAACTTTGGTGAGGACACTATGCTCCGAAGCAATGTGATCCACTCGCTTCACAAGCATATCAAGTTTTGTACTATGATAAACCATCACAAGGGAAGGGAGGAATCCTTACCGTTCATAGTCGTTGTCTTGTCTACTGACAGCTTCAAAGTAATCCCACCTTTTACTAAGGGAAACGAAATGAGCAATATCAAGCGGTCTTACGTAATCTTATCGTAGGCCCGCCTATTCACTTCATTACTTTGTCAAACAACAGCCTCTAGCGTTTCCATACGGGCTTCAATGCGGGCTTCAAGGTGGTCCTCCATTTCCTTCAGCCACGCCAGCATTGTTGCTAGGAGCAACTCTGCAGACTGTGGCGTGGAAGGAGCGGCAGTTGCGAGAGAATTTACATCGGAGAGCCTACTGATATAAGTTAAATTATTAGTGCCTACTGAGACGTGCTGGGCCAACCCAGTGCGCGTTTAGCGAGTGTTGGCTGATTTTCTTCATCACTGTCTTCGTCTTCAGAACCCGACCTAACCCGACGGGGAATCCTAGAAAAGAAAACATTAGTTGTACTAAACTCTTACTTCCTTCGGCAACCCTTGCCTTTCTGTGTGGGTTCACAGCTGGACAGATCAGAGGTCTCCTCCGCCAGTTTAGCGCGACGGCGAGTCTCCTCTAATGTGAAGTAGTTACCCAGTATAATAAATAACTAAATAAATTTTATATTTTAGGCCCGAAGGGCCTCGTCATTGCAAACTTA